CCCCCCCCCCCCCCTACAGGGACAGGTGACAAGTGTACATCACATGTCCCCTCTCCTCCCCCCTGTACACAGCCACATACTACACACACCGGGCACATGTACACCGACATTTAACCCTTAGCTGCCTGCTCTGCACAGATGATCGCCAAGGACATGTGTGTAGAGAAGAGACAAGTTTGACTTGGTGATGATGGTGGTGGTGATGGCTGGCCGTGCACACAGTCCGGGTCCCGCCTGGGATCACACCGTGCCTGGACTTTGTACTGGGAAAGGAGCTGCGCGCGGTGTCCATTGCTCACTCACCTTTCCTATGACATGGTAGGCGGCTGGCGGTCGGCGGCGAGCTTCTCCCTCCTGCCAGATCGCCACCAGATACAACGAGATCCAGCAATCCCCTATGACCCAAATACCAAGAATGATCTCCGATGGATGACAGCTCGCCAAACGTGTCCAGTCACACCCTCCAACCACAGACTGAGGGGTGTCTGGAAGAAGGTCAGCACCTTCGCTCTGACATTGCCCCCCAGCAGCTGCGGAACGGGGGGCTTTGGCAGAGTTTGGAAAACTTTTCCCCGGATTGCTCCTATTCGCCAGTCACGCTCGTGCTTTCATTCCTGCGTGTCCAGCTTCTTCTGACATTTCCTCGTCTCCTCCGAGCACAGCTCCTGTGTGTGGAGAACAGCTGACGGAGCCGGCGGCGGGGCTGGTGGCGGCTCTGCACTGTCTGGTCCCGGCGAGTGTCTGCGCTGAAAGACAGGCACGGTGTAGCCCGGCCACTTCTTGTATTGGAAGCAGCAGTTGACTGACAGGCAGACTGAGCACGGTAGTCTACTTCTCATGCAGAGAAAGGAGCTGTGATGTCACCGTGACATCAGCGGGTCACATGACAGCGGTCACATGGTCTACTCTTCTCCCAGTCTAGCTTGCAGTGTGCTGTGTCTGGTGCCGAGTGCAATCCGCTTTTACAGTCTCCGCTGTGATCACATAAGACTACGTGCGGGGGGCTGAGCTCTGCTCTCCTACTGTACTGTCATACGGCACACCATAGGCGTACTGCACTCTTCTGTCACACACGGCACACCATAGGCGTACTGCACTCTTCTGTCACACTGCACTCTACTGTCACACCATAGGCATACTGCACTCTTCTGTCACACTGCACTCTACTGTCACACCATAGGCGTACTGCACTCTACTGTCACACCATAGGCGTACTGCACTCTTCTGTCACATGGCACACCATAGGCGTACTGCACTCTTCTGTCACACTGCACTCTACTGTCACACAATAGGCATACTGCACTCTTCTGTCACACTGCACTCTACTGTCACACCATAGGCGTACTGCACTCTACTGTCACACCATAGGCGTACTGCACTCTTCTGTCACACTGCACTCTACTGTCACCAAATAGGCATACTGCACTCTTCTGTCACACTGCACTCTACTGTCACACCATAGGCGTACTGCACTCTTCTGTCACCCGGCATACCATAGGCATACTGCACTCTTCTGTCATACTACACTCTACTGTCACACCATAGGCATACTGCACTCTACTGTCACACGGCACACTGCACTCTTCTGTCATACGGCACACCATAGGCATACTGCACTCTACTGTCATGCCTGCACTCTTCTGTCATACGACACACCATAGGCATACTGCACTCTACTGTCATGCGACACACATTAGGCATACTACACTCTACTGTCACACTGCACTCTACTGTCATGTGACACACATTAGGCATACTCAGGGGCTGACTGGCAACTTTTGGCCCAGGGGGGCTAGTACAACCCAGAGGCCCATGGTTCAGCTTAGTGAATCACCTCCTCAGTGATAAAGGAGTACTCTGTATGTCATGAGAGGGGGTAAAACATAACTTAACTCCTTAGGGTGCAAAACAAATCTGTAGCTTAACTGTAGATGATCACCATAAGGGGTTCATTTTTATAGTCATCTACTTTATTTGATTTAGTTTTTTTACATTTCAACATATCTGTGGGTCAGTGCTGACGGGGGGAAAGGGTCATGACTGGTCAATGTGTTTTAACATTGCTTTAGTATTCAGAAGCAGGCATAGTGACAGCTAATCACCGTATACTGTATACTGGGATCAACTGTCACTCAGGGCCATCAGAAGCCATGCACATCTAATAAGAGCTGTCATTATTGCTTCTGAGAAACAGCATTTAATAACAGCTCTGTACATGCTGGGATCTTATTGATCCCAGCAAGTATGGCCTGCCTAAGAGTGATTGTTAACATCAATCACACTCCATTCAGTCTCAGGCAGCTAGTGCACAGCAGGGATGTGGGATGAGGTCAGTGGCAGGTGAAGCACCCTCGGCCTGTCCCACGCCACAGGCACGGTCACCGAGCTATGTATTCATCTGCCCACGGTGGCTGCAACCCTGGTGTCTCCACCTCTGTAACCCAGCAATACATTATACAGCAATGCAGAATTATACCATCACCTATAGAGGACTGCAACCCCCAGCAATACATTATACAGCAATGCAGAATTATATCATCACCTATAGAGGACTACAACCCCCAACAATACATTATACAGCAATGCAGAATTATACCATCACCTGTAGAGGACTACAACCCCCAGCAATACATTATACAGCAATGCAGAATTATATCATCACCTATAGAGGACTACAACCCCCAACAATACATTATACAGCAATGCAGAATAATACCATCACCTGTAGAGGACTACAACCCCAGCAAAACATTATACAGCAATGCAGAATAATACCATCAGCTATAGAGGACTACAACCCCCAGCAATACATTATACAGCAATGCAGAATTATACCATCACCTATAGAGGCCTACAAATCTCAGCAATACACTATACAGCAAGGCAGAATAATACCACCAACTATAGAAGACTACAAATCCCAGCAATGCAGAATAATACCACCAACTATAGAAGACTACAAATCCCAGCAATGCATTATACAGCAATGCAGAATAACACCATCAACTATAGAAGACTACAAATCTCAGCAATGCATTATACAGCAATGCAGAATAACACCATCAATGCAGAATAACACCATCAACTATAGAAGACTACAAATCTTAGAGATTCATTATAGTATAATGTAGAGCAGCAAGAATATATATACAATGGTTGGGGGGTATGATTGTGCTGATCCATTCCTGCTGCATGAAGTGCACAACATACTGCTCCTCTGTAGTCAAATCACATGCATCTCACAGCTCTGTAATGCTCATCCTGCTGCTTCAGCATGCTGCGGTGTTATTGGCCCCATGTACATTGATCAATTGTGGATTTTCCTGGAGCCAAAATATTATTGTTTCTGGAAAGGTTCAAGCCAAAACTGCTATGTAACTAATGAGGGTTTATAGGAGATGGTTGTTGAAAGGAGAACTATGAGCAGCAGTGTAACGTACAGTGCAGAGGTCAGAGGTGTATTGTAGACGTCGGAGGTCAGTATGTAATGCACAGTGCAGAGGTCTGCGGTGTGACGCACAGTACAGAGGTCAGCGGAGTGACAGAGTACAGAGGTCAGCGGTGTAACACACAGTACAAAATTCAGGGTGTGATGCACAGTGCAGATCTCAGCGCTGTGACGCACAGTAGAGCTCAGTGCTGGAACGCACAGTACAGAGCTCAGCAGTGTATTGCACAGTACAGAGGTCAGGGTGTGAGGCACAGTGCAGAGGTCAGCGGTGTAATGCAGAGTACAGAGGTCAGGGTGTGAAGCACAGTACAGAGGTCAGGGTGTAATGCAGAGTACAGAGGTCAGGGTGTGATGCACAGCACAGAGGCCAGGGTGTGAAGTACAGTACAGAAGTCAGGGTGTGACACAGTGCAGAGGTCAGCGGTGTAATGTAGAGGTCAGAGGTCACACAGAAAGTACAGTGACTTACAGTTGATCCGATTTCTTGATTCAGGTGCTCTGACCTCCTCTTCTCCTGGTGATGGTGGGGGGAGCAGTGAGGTTGCCTGCAGTCCAGCCAGCTCGTGGTGCCTGCTCTCTAGGTCCCGTGCAGCAGAACTAAACAGCTGGCCAATTGTAGCTCTGCAGTCTCTCTCTCCCACCTATAGCAGCTGAGGTGGGTGGAGGAAACTGCTGTGGCCACCGAGGAGCCCGATCGCTGAAGCACGCACTGTCAAAGGCAGCCAATCTCCTTCTTCTCTTCTGCCCGCCGCCGCAGCCACTTAACCTGGTTACGTGGTTATGGCGGCGGCAGGGGCCGTTTGTAAAGGCATCAGAGAGGCCCAGGGGGGCAATTGCCACCCCGCCCCTAGGCATACTGTGCTCTACTGTCCTACTGCACTCTACTGTCATACGGCACACATTAGGCATACTGCACTCTACTGTCACACTGCACTCTACTGTCATACGACACACATTAGACATACTGCATTCTACTGTCACACTGCACTCTACTGTCATACGGCACACATTAGACATACTGCACTCTACTTTCACATGGCAATCATCTGTCATATGGCCCACATTAGGCGTACTGCACTCTACTGTCACACTGCACTCTACTGTCACACTGCACTCTACTGTCATATGGTACACCTTAGACATACTACTCTACTGTCACACTGCACTCTACTGTCATACGGCACACCTTAGACATGCTGCACTCTACTTTCATACTGCACACTTCTGTCATACGGCCCAAATTAGACATACTACACTCAGGGCCGGCCTTAGGCCTTTAGGCGCCCTGTGCGAGAAAGCTTTACAGCGCCCCTCAGTGACCACACCCCTCAGTGGCCACACCCTTTAGTGGCCACACCCCCAATAACCACACCCATTTATCACCCATATTTTTGGTAAAATATAAAAAGACAGGGTCACGTCGGGTAAATAGACACCAAACATGTCATGCTTTAAAATTGCGCGCACCCGCAAAATCACAAAAAATTACCATGCCCAAAATTGACCATAGGTGACACTTTAAAAGCTTTTACCGCTCATCAGTTAAGTGTTATCAGTGATTGATAGCCCTACAATTATTGCTCTCATTCCAACGTTCGCGGCTATATGTAACATGTGCGGCGTAATGGGCGAAATCGTCGTTTTCACACGTATGCGCACCCGACGCCTGTTTGCATGCGTGTATGTATGGGGGGGACTTTAAAAAAAAATGTAATTCTTTTTTATTTGTGTGAGCAATTATGTTGCGCTTGGTAGTGAGCAATATTCTTTACTGTATCACCTTTCTGTGTTACTATCTCAATAGAAATGTTTGTTTATACTAAGTGAAAAATAAATAAATAAATAGATGAAATAGACAAAATTAGTAAAATGGTGTAGAGTATATATAATAAAATGAATGAATTAAT